TGGGTACTGCATACATGTGGTGCACCTACATAAATGCAGGCAAAACACTCATACACATAAGTAAAAATTAATTTAAAACTCAAACTCAGCTTTTAAGAATGATCCATTTAGGGTTGAACATTCAGCAGTCACATGTTCTCAGCACTTCTACATCACTTCTCCGAGGCTCAGAGAACATCATGGAAGAGGGAATGAAAAGAATGTAAGATCTCAAGGAAGGGGTGGAAAGATTTCTGATCATGACATGTCATTGAACTCATTAAGTCACAGCAGCCGTGACTATCTGCACAAGACTGGGTCCATCAACACTTCATCATGGAGAGGAGAGGCACCATAAGGCTTCAACCCTCTCTGAGGGTAGGTAGTTAATGGTGGCTATGGATTGGAGAGACATTTTCTTCAGTGGTGTAGCCACTGGTATGTTGCCCGTGCTCCATCAATAACCTCTCACTCGTGCTCCTGTAAACGACTCTAATTAAATTCATTGGTTCACCAAACAGATCGATATGAAAGTAGAATGGAGACCATTTGGGAAGAGGAAAGAAATTAGCAGGAGAGGGAAGGAGACAAGAGAGGGTAATGGGAAGTGAATATGATAAAAATACATGTGTGAAAATTTCATTACAAACCCTATTATTATGTATAGTTAACAGAAAACTTAAAAGGAAAAGTTCTGGTTTTGCTAACTATGTAAAATGGGCCTCCTGTTGGGTTCATTCTGTAGCTATCACCAGAGTCTAGAAAACCCACTATCACACTCTAGCTGAGCCTGGGGGCTAAGCTGTTGTCCTAATGACACCAGCTTTCTCAGACTCTGCATCCTGGTATACCTGACTAATGGGATTTCCACATGAAAAGGCTCCATTTTGAGCACTGCTGGAGATAATAAGCTGATGCTTTTGTTCAGAAAAATGAGCAGGCCAGGATTAACTCACCAGGCCATTTATTGAGCTGGTTGGATAGCAATACAATGTTGATGGAGAATCAGGCACTTTCTATCATGTCAGCCAGCCTAGCTCAAAATGTGAGTGATGAGGCTCCATGCTCCCAGGATGGCCACTGTGACAGCATATATCCTACCCTTAAACACCCCAGAGGAACAGTCAGCTAGAGAAGCATTCTGAATCTTCATGTATCCATCTCTCTCTAGCAAGACTGTCTTCTCCAAGATCTTACAGAAGTCTTCCTGTGTCTCATTGGCTGATTCACAGACCCAACTCTATGCTAACTGTTAGCAACACAACGTTCTCACTTAGAACTTTGCTACCTCAGTGACATCAAGCCCCTACTGGCAAGGACCAGGAAAGAGTGGGTGTCAGGCAAGTAGTCAATAGTGTCTGTGGCTGCTAGAAACAGAGTGAGAAAGGTCTTTAGTTCCCAACACCCACGCAGCGTCCTGTAGTCTTATGAGTGTTGGAATCTCCAAAAGAAAAATAGAGTAGTTAATCTTTCCCAAACATGTTTGACCATGGAAACATTGTTTTTG